GGCTCCCGGGGAGGGGCGGGAGCGCACTGGCTGCCAGTCCCACCCCCAGGTACTACAGAATAGTCAATGGATAAGAATTCATGGGATTATTCGACTAGTCAGTTAACCAATATTTAACATCCCTAATGGAGTCCCCTTACTACAGGAGCCTTTGACTTTTACTTTTGTGCTGAAATCTAGTCCTAGAGACTACAACTCCTTGGGAACGGGGAGGGGCGGGAGCGCACTGGCTGCCAGTCCCACCCCCAGGTACTACAGAATAGTCAATGGATAAGAATTCATGGGATTATTCGACTAGTCAGTTAACCAATATTTAACATCCCTAATGGAGTCCCCTTACTACAGGAGCCTTTGACTTTTACTTTTGTGCTGAAATCTAGTCCTAGAGACTACAACTCCTTGGGAAAAAGGGGGGAACAGTGGCTCTTCCAGGCATGGAGAGTGTGACGGACCAGGCCTGGGCACCGCTGAGGGCATCCGCTCAGAGCGAATTGCTCAAAACCAGGGCTCCTTGCAGCCCAGACTGGAGACCTTCCCAAACAGGCCACACACCAGTCGCACCGAGCGCTCCAGCTGCCAGTCCGGCCGGCAGGAACCTCACGAGCAAAACCCCCCAGACCCCCCAGCTCTCCCCGTGCCCCAGTCAGCCCTGGGCCTGCACACAGGTGGGGGTTATAGGACCCGATCTCATCTCCCCCGAACGGGTCCTCCTGGTCCCAAAGAACCAGCTCCAGATCCCCAGTCAGTTCACACTCTGGATCTTCCCCACAAGAGCGCGCTGGGCCCGTCCTTGAGCATCTAAAGTCTAAGGCTATGTCTATGCTGCACATTGTTGTGCAAGAAGATATGCAAATGAGGCATGGGGGGTGACTATCGCTGCACCTCATTTGCATAGCTAATGAGCCGCCATTTTTGCTGCAGGGAGTTTTGCGCAAGAAGGAGCTGTCCACACTGCTCCTTCTTGGGCAAAAACCCCTCTTGCACAGAGCCGTTCTGCCGCTTATTTTCAGCAAGAACGGCTCCCGCTGTGCAAGAGGGATTTTTTGCACAAGAAGAAGCAGTGTAGACAGCTCCTGGCACGAAACCCCCTTCCGTAAAAATGTATGCGGCTCATAAGGTATGCAAATGAGGCATGGCAATATTAACCCCACACTTCATTTGCATAGCTTCTTGCGCAACAATGCGCAGTGGAGACGTAGCCCAACGGTTTATTAACAAAAGAAGGAAACGGCGGCGAGTGAGGCCGTTAAGGAGAATCCGTCACACGCACCAGTCACCAGTTCTGGACGCGGCGCTCAGCAGATTTCCAACCTGCCAGCTTAGCAGTCCCTGGTGCCCAGCCTCTGCCAGGGCCGGTCGGCCTCCTTCCCGCTCGCTGCCCCTCGCACGGCTGCTCCTGGGATCAGTAACAGAA